CGCACTGGACATGCCCAAAACAGACTCCCTGCCTCCCCTCCCTGCCCCTCCTGTGCTCCTTCTCAGCTGCCTCCGTCCTTCTCAGTAGTTGCTCTGGTCAGAAACCTTGGCGGCCTCGGATCTCAAACCCTACATCCAATCCATTGTCAGATCGTCATCAGATGCTGTCATCTTTACCTTCTGACGACAGCCGGGCTCCACGTCAGACTGCACGTGCTGTCACCCTCTTCTGCCTACTTATCCCACCATCCTATCCTGGCCTATTTCAGCCCAGAGCCAGAATACATCCATTTAAAACCAGATGACTTCGTGCCGAAAACCCTCCAGTTCGTGCGTCGCTGGGTTCAGAGCCTGTCCTCACTTGCCCCTCCAGAAGCCCTCTGGGTCCGACCTCTGCCCCCGCCTGTCTCCAGCTTCTGCCCGTGTCTCCCCTCCACACCTGCTCCAGTCCCATCTCCGCCTGGGCCAGTCACATTTCTGCCTGAGGGCCGTTGAACTGCTTTTCTCCCTTCCTGGATGTTCTTAACCTCCACAAGCTGCTCTTTGCCTTGTTCTCGCTTGAAATGTCACCCTCAGGGTGAGGCCGGTTATCACCCTGTGTGGGCACTCCCTCTTCCCCGCCCTGCTTCGTTCCTGTGCTCCGCGCTCAGCAGCATCTGGTATACGAGGCATTTACCTGTTTATTCCTTTCTCATCTCTCTCTGTCCGGTCCATTGTGAGGTCTGTGGCGGCGAGACCTTCATCTTGCGCACGGTTGTGTCTCCAGCACCTGGTTTATTGTAGGTGCTTGTTGAACACCTGTTTCTGAATGAGGGAGTAAGGTGAACGAATGAGTGTGGCTCAGAAACCCATGCCCTTTCCATCATGTCTCCCTGTGTATTCTTTGGCATTCGGTGTGTGGGGCTTGTTTGGCTGCAGGGGTTTTTGCTGTTTGTGGAGGAAAGAGATGACTACAGGGGGAGAATTGACAGTGCGTCTCTATTGTCAGGTGACTTATACCCTGGTGGCAAACTGACCTTTGACCTGGCAGGTGCTTGCTGTTGCTTTGTCACATTCGTATGCAGATGGCTTTAGAGTCAGCATCTCCTAGAGATGATGGACAATTAAGAAAGTGACTATTCTTTTTAGCATTCATTTTCTTTCTTTCTTTTTTTTATTATGTTCAATTAGCCAACATATAGTACATCATTCGTTTTTGATGTAGTGTTCAGCGATTCATTAGTTGCGTATAATACCCAGTGCTCATCACATCACGTGCTGTCCTTGATACCCATCACCTGGTATTCATTTTCTAACTAAATCCTATTACTCTCATTATTTGTAGAGACAAAAAAATGCATATAAATGATTTTTAACTTTTGCATCCTTTTAAGTTTTAAGAAGTGTAGAGCTTTTAGTTCTTTACATCAGATAGGCTTTTTAAAAATATTACCTGAAACTATTTCATCAATTGAAGTATTTATTTTGAACAGTTAGATTCCAGATTTTCCCACATTCCTAGCAGAGTGCCAGCAGGAGTAAATACGTGTCGTTCCACCCAAATACAGTGATGTCGTCATGTAGAAGGTACAGGTGGCTGTGTCCACAGCCCAGAGCGCACTCGGTGGAGGTTCTAAAGCCCTCCGCCTTCTCTCCCTCCTCCATCCCTCAGACTCCACCTTGGGGGACGCCAGAGGGCCTCTCTGATTCACATTAAGTGATTGCAGACTTTCTAGAACCCAGGAAGTGATTAGCTGTTGCAGGCTCCGCCAGATGCAAAGTCAACAGGTAGTTAAAATGTCAGTAAAAGTACAAGTGAAATAATGTCTGAGTCACTGAAACAAGTATTTATGAACAAAATGCACTGTTAAGAACCACTGCAGGTAATCTCTTTGAGAACAGTGGAGTTGTTTTCATTTAGAAGTGTTTTCTTCGCACCCTGGGTTCGGCTGTAGTGAGGTGAGATTGGTTCTCCTTCCCCATCACTCTGTTGTTTTCTGGTCTTGCATATGCCTGTGTTGGATTCATCTGTCCATTTTCCCCTCTGATTTACTTTTCTGAGCTCTCATTAATCTATTTGTGCCTTACTGAACCCTTTACTGTAGTACTGTCTTATTTTCATTTATAACTTACTGTCTTCTAGCATTTTACTCTCATATTTGCCACCCCCTGCCCCCACCCCATGACAGGTTGGACCAGAGGCAGCAGAATTGCCAGCCATTTAAAACCAAAAGGAGGGGCACCTGGATGACTCAGTCGTTGGGCATCTGCCTTCGGCTCAGGTCATGATCCCAGGGTCCTGGGATCGAGTCCCGTATTGGGCTCCCTGCTCCGCGGGAAGCCTGCTTCTCCCTCTCCCACTCCCCCTGCTTGTGTTCCCTCTCTCGCTGTGTCTCTCTCTGTCAAATAAAAAATAAAATCTTAAAAAAGCAACAGCAACAACAAAGGGAACATTCAGGGCTAATGATCACCAGTAAAGGAAACAAAATGATGTTGAGATTTTTTTGCAAACCAGTTGGTTCTCTGAGCCCATGTGTATGCCAAGTATCGAAGGTGCAGAGATAAATAAGGCAGTGTTCCTGGTGTTCAGTAGCCCATGACTTTTGTGGTGACAGGAAAGTAAGCCAAAAAAATTAGAAAACAGTATGGTAAATGCTTTCAAGCACAGATGAAAACGGACAGGCGGGAGGGAGTATGATCAACCTGTAGAAGGAGTAAGAGATCTTGACTGGACACTTAGAAGAATCCATGTATTTGGCATTTTAAAAATATGTATTTAGCACATATCTTGGGCTAGGCGCTGGGGATTCAGTAGTGAAAAAGACTGTTCCTTACCTCATGGACTTTCTAGAAAGGAGAGAGATTTTAAAACAGCCAGTGTAATTGGATCAATGAAACACCCATGAACCTAAAAATATGTGGAAGGAAGCAAACAAGCTAAGGTTAAATGAAGGACAAGTGTGGGCATCGTGGCTGAGGGCCTACGTGAGGCAGAGCTGTCCAGTGGGCCTCTAGTACGAAGTGACTTCTCAGCTGGGACTTGAAGAAGAAGCTGTCCTTGCAAAACAGTTCCAGAAAGAGTGGTCGAAGTGGACAGAGCAATATTTGGAAAGACTCTGGAGCATTCAGCTCGGCTGCCTGCCTTCTTTCCATCCCTGTGAGGGAGCGTGGTTCTCGGATGGAGCAGCACGGTCTCACACGGCCCGTTCTCCCAGCCCAGCTCACTTCCCAGAGGCGTCCTGCGGCCGCACACCTAATAGTGCAGGAACTGCCTGCGGCTGCCGGGACGCACGGGCCACGAAGGGCATGCGCGCCGAGAGCACACATGTGCGTTTATGGAGCATCTTACATGTACCTAACAGTTTAGTATGTCACTGAGTGGATAAACTCCATGATTTGATATCGTTTTTATTATGTTTTGAGGGAAAATGGGAATTAGAATTTAGAACTGAAGAGTATTTTATCATTCTTTGGTGAACTAAACTGTGAAGAGAATGAGACAGGATGAGAAAAGTGATTCTCTGCCCTCAGGGAAGTGGGAATCATTGTTTTTACAAACCTCAGAGGCCCGTGAAACATCCTGCAAGCTAACAGGGCAGCTGGGTATTCGTAGCAGCCTGGAGGATGGGTCGGCTGAGGGGTCATTTCCTGAGAGCGAGTGGTAGAAAAGGAAGAACTGACTTTTAAGGGAACCGAATGGGAATCTCCCCCCTCATGCACCGAGTTTGAGAGCAGTTGTCATCGGACAGAACAGGGTGTGTGTGTGTGTGTGTGTGTGTGTGTGTGAGTGTGAGAGAGAGAGATCTTGCCTGCTGGGTGAGGAGAATGAGCCGTAAGTTCTCATGGCCCCTGATGGCGTCCTCCTTTCTTTACGTGTTGAAGGATGCTCCTGTTTGGCCAGAGGTGGAGTGGACACTGACCACTCGTGCTCTGAGCGCTGGGGCAGGTGGAAGAACACCGGGTCTCCGTGGTGGGGTCTGAGGTTCCTCCTGCACTCGCTGGTGGCGTGGCTGGCCTGTCCCCAACGCCTTGCCTTCCCTGCACAACGGAGGCCATGCGGACTCCGAGCAGGTGACGCTCACTCTCTACCTGTAGGCAAAACAGGATTTCCCGGTTTTAGTGAAATTCCAAAAATATAAATAAATACCTTGTGATTAATTGTTCTGTAACATGAATGTCTGTAAGCTAACATAATAAAGGATAAATGTATATCCTGGTGGCTTTCAAAATGTGGATTTATTTATTTTTCCTTTCCAAACTATCCAGTTAGAGATTATAAAATATGGAGAAAAGATTGCCATTTTCTTAATTGTGGCATGACTTAGAGCCCTCTTTGAAGGGTGATTTAGGCCAAGGGCGGCTCTCACAGGCCCTTAGTCCCGGGGTCCCAGACCAGCAAGCCGGACAGCAAGCTGTCCTCTTTCTTCCTCCCCCATCCCTCCTGTTCTGTTCTACATTTCTCACCCAACCTCTTTTAATTTTCTACCTATTCCCCTTTTCCCAACTCACTTTCCACCTGTAGGTCAGCTGAGGCAAAAGGCAGCATGGTATGTTGAAAACTCAGAATCAGGAAGCCCAGGCCACGCCTGATGCCTGGGGGCTCCTTCTTCTGGCCTTGAGTTCTAGGGCGCCAATGAGGGGCGGGTGACGCTGCTCCCGCAGGGTCTCAGGTGGAGCTTGAGCAGGCATTTCTCCCCCTCTTTCTCTCTCTCTCTCTCTCTCTCTCTGTGCCTGCCTCCTTCCCTGCCCTTCCCTTCTCTTGTCTTTTCTTTTCTTCCCTCCTTCCCTCCCTTCCTGCTTTTTTTTTAAAGCAAGGGAGAAGGCCTGGATCCCTCAGCTCTTATACCTTCCCCAAACACAGCAGCCCCTGGATTATCTCTTTGAAATCCCTTCAAGATCTTTTTGTATGTTAAAAAAATGTCAGCATTTTGTAGTTGTATAAGCAGAATAAACTTTTTCATATATCAAAGTATTATTTTAAGTTTCTGCTTTCAAATACTTGTTTTTTTATTTTGTCACAGCCCAATGATGATAATTACCCAGAAGATCACTAGTTTGGCTTATGAAATTCATGATGGTAAGAATTTAGAAATTAATCTTTCGTCACTGAAAGAAATCCTATTCAAATGTACTTTCACCTGAGATATGACCCTAACTTTCTGCTCTGTATTCAAGGAGGTCAGAGAGGGGAATCTTTAACTCTGTCTACGTTAAAGTGTATTTATTTTTCTGCAGTGTTTAATCTCAATTTCACACTTGATCCAGTGACAAAAACAGAGTAAAAGAATGGGATCCTGTCATAGTACCCACATTAGTGGCAATTTAAAATATAAAGGAAATAGACATTTGATCTCAATCAAGCGTTATTAGTCCCTGCTTCATCTCTGTGTTACATTTTTATTAATATTTGATGTTTTCCCCATGCCCCTTATCCCTTAATATATAATATACACACACACAGTGACATATATTTTTAGCATAAATATTTATATATTCGTATTTTATATCTTCAGTGAATGGACACCTTGCCATAGGAAATGCTAAAAGTCTGGGCTGTGAGTCACGAGTTTGACTCTGGTTTCTTCACAGACTGGAGGAGCATCCCTGTCAGACCCGTCATTCGTAGTGGCCTAGGGAGCTTCTTGCATGGGGCTTTTAGCCCCACTGTATATATAGATCACCCATCCTGTACCCTCTACTACAGAAGACCTACAAATAATTTCTAAGTATATTGTTTGCCTCTTAATTTAGTCCTCCTTTGGTCTTTAAATTGGGCTTAGAATCTAATAAGGTGATGTGTACTTGTAAATCGTGTCCTCCTCTTTGGGGAGAGAAGGTAAAGAAATGGATGGAGAAGGTATATGAGTACAGTTTTCATTCCTTAGAGTCATCGAGAGATAAGGAAATCACTCCTTGCTTTATGTTGAGCTTGTAGCCCATAATACTGATTAGTCATTTAAATCATCTAATAATAGAAACATCTTAATGCCCCCTTTTGAAAGTCATAGTGTTTGCTATAAAATATGCTAGGATTTTGGAATTTTTAAGTTAATAATGATTTCCTCTAGAGAAGAGTCGGATTTGTGCCCTGATGTGTTGTTTCTCTCCTACAGACCTAGATGTGTTGAGTTACATGGTGGTCCTTTGATGTGATTAAACCTGTGTTGCAATGAGAAAGAAAGGAACCGGTTATTCCAAAATTGGAATTATAGCTTGAATTTCCAATGAGAAAAGTGGTGGAAGTGTGAATGGGGAAAAACACCATTCTTTTCTTGGAGGAAACCATAATTGATAAAAGTCCCTATTTTTATTTTTCAGGGATGTTTCGAAAGGATGAAGAACTGACATCATCACAGAGGGGGTTAGCTGTAAGGTGCGTGCTCTCTTGTCGTGTCCTGCCTTGATTCGCGCGGTCTCTGCCTCAGACGCACTTTACTCTCATGGCTAAGGCTGACTCATCCTGCTGGCGGTACTGACTTCATGAAAACCAACTTTCCTCCCTCCACACACCGCCCTGGCACCACATCTTGCTAGGCTAGGCTGCCTGTCCCTTCTAAGGCTCCCATGGCACCTTGGATATATTATGTACCACGCAGATATCACTAAATTTTCTGTCTCTCCTATGATTTTCTGAGTTCTCTGAAGACAGTCTTCATGTCTGCCACATAGTAATGAGTGATAATCGCTGCTTTTGTTTATAGACCGATAACTTGATGGCAGTTACTGGGCTAAGATATGTTAATACGACACATAGATACCATGTTTTGAAATAATGAAGAACCAGTAAGATCTTCTTGATATTATTTGAGGATTTCATTCTGGGTAGGTTTCTACTTCATTTATGATAGTACTTTGTTGACTAATCTGAGGAATAGCTTAATTTCTTGGAAGGCTCTATCTTAGTCTAATATAATTAGAGATTGAATCATTTTACCTAAAGAAAAATTCCTAGGAAGCCCCTTGTTTTCGGTAAATCTAGAACAAACAGATGCATGGCTGTCGGAAGAATGAGGTTAAGCTCGTGATAGTAGATAGACCCTTTTGGTAGCATGTCTTGGGAATCTTCTAATATTTTCCCCATCTTTAAGATTATTCTATTTTGATATTCTCTATAGTCAGTCTTTACATATCAGTAGGTGTACATTTGAATATACTCAGAGAGGTTACTTTGATCTGGGTTCTGTGATCTTTAGGCGTCCTTCGCCCATCCCTAAACCTCTCATTAAGAGACACTCAGCCTCCCGTTTCTGCCTTTCCCTCCCACACACCCACCTGGCAAAACCCCAAACCCTATTAAATTCGACTCTCTGCCTACCTAAACAGTGGAAGAAAGCAGAGTGGAAAACATTCATTGCAGATTGGACCTGTTTTGAGTGTGTTACCGCAAACTTAGAATCATGGCCTTAGTGTTGCCAGGAGTTTGGCTGCATCTGTCCCGTGCGCTCCCCGCTCCGCAC